AGGGATTATTGGAAACGAATAGAAAGATGTAAGAAACAAATGGAAATAACTAGAAATGGAAGTAACTAGATGTGAGAAGAAAAGCATTTTGCTATCAAGCAAGATCGACTTGAGAATTATTGAAATGCCAGGAACCACTGGAAACTGACCGAACACAAGAGAAACCAGACTGACCAAATCTATAAAAATGTCTCTGCCAACCTTAACCTCATAAAAATCCCTAGAATCCTTAAGAAGTAAGAAACCGTTCGGAGAAAGGAACAAAATGGAATAAAAAATAGAGAGAGAATCTAATTTGTAGCGACAGATTCGTTCGTCTGGTCTCTTTCCTTTTCAACTGCAGAGTTGAAATTTTAACAGATCCTAACTGGATGAGAATCCTTCTGCTCTTGGGGAAAAGGAAAAATCTCGTGAATGTTTGAGAATGCACGTTTGACCCTGTAGTATTTCGCCCCCGTGGTTCACTCACGCCCCCACATTCCGCATGCTGCCCACTCAAACCCACGGCTGGAAATCCCCTCGAGCAGAGCGCGTGCAATTCCTCGTTAAAAGGACACAAGCATCTAGATTAAAACGAACATAACTCCCTCCCTCTCTCCACCCTCTCGTCAGTCCAAGCATTTGTCTCTTTAGCCTTTGTCCTTTTTTTCTTGCGGTTCGTTTCATTTCTGGAAATTTATTACGTTACCTTGCGTGAAACTACGACGAGCAAATTTGTAGTTTTATGTTGAAGGTAAATGTTACCACGGTTAAATATATGATAATTAAAGTCTGTACAAGAGGACATTAACAAACAAAATTACTCCCTCTTAATGAAATAAATTGCGCTGCATGATTGTACTTCTATTGTGTGTCGAAGGAAATTGCTCGTTATCATGTAGAAATGTGTATTAAAAATGTGTATTTTTTTTTTTTTTTTTTTTTTCGATAACATCAATTTTCAGGCATTTGTGTCTCGGGGGTTCACTGTCGTATCATATAAGTTAAATCAGACGAAGAGAGAGAATTATTTGATTATTTAAAATTTATTTCTCAAAAATAAGATGCGACATACTTTGGCACTTTGTTTTTAGCATAATTTAATTATACTTACTGAAGGTTCTATTGAATAATTTATTTTCGGTGCACGATTGATCGATGAAAATTGTACTTTCAAATTTCGCACAAATGTATGAAAATCCGCAATTAGCATGAACAAGAGTACGTATACGTTTGCATTGCACTTATTAATTTTGTTAAAATTTAATTAAAATACATTTCGTTACAAAGTTCCCTGCGTTACAAAAATACGCCCGTTTTCACAGAGCTTGGCAGAAGAAAAAGACACTTTCGTTAAACAGCCAGGAGAGACAACCCGTCGTGTTTGGGGTAATTAAGTGAAACAAGGGGTTAGAACACGAAGTTACGAACAAAGAGGGGCTCGTTCAAAAGAAAACAAGCGAACGGACTATCTTCAAAACGCTTTGAAATACCTTTCAACCCCTTGTGTATTATTTCTCATACGTATTGTACAGTCTCAAGCCCTTTTCTGAATCTATCGGTCGCGCCATTTCTACTAAGGGAGGGTTCGAAGTACCTTCACTTCGTTGAAGAATCGCGATTCGTCAGTGTTATTACTATTATTCCGAATTAATGGCAGTACTTCAGATGGTCGTTAATCAACAACGTGCCCCATCATCCCCCTATTGCGTTGTATTGCGAGGAAGCAGCAACAAGGATGGAAGTCTCAACAAGGAGAAACATATAAAGGATCCTTGAGTTTTCGTTCGATGGAAATCGTGCGATTGCAATTAATCGAAATTGCAAGATCGAGAGTCACCGGGAGGGGATGTAACCAAGAGTAGAGGAGGCAGATTTGAATCGTGCAAAGATAAAACAGGAAGGGATAAAGTTTTCACAAGCCCCTCGGAAGCCCACGCAAACTCCTAAGGTCAAATAAAAAAAAATATATATATATATGTACATTAGCTTTTTTATTCATGAAACGTTGGTGTCTCAAGAAATTTAGGAAATTTTTTATTTAAAACAGATGAGAAATGTAGATCAGAAATAGGATTTAGGAAATTGCATATAGAGGATCTTTCATTCACTGAAAGATTATTCTTTGAAGGTATTTAGAGATCTAGGGGATTTCAAATGAAGAAAGAAGTTTGAACTTTTTATAGGTTGAAAATAGCGAAAGATTAATTTTTGAAAACATTTGAGCATTTGGAAAAGTGTAGTTGAAAGACGAGGGAAAAGTTTGACAACGTTTTGCAATTTAACATTCTTAATTTCAACTTCTCTAACTGAACGGTAAAATGTATTTTTAGACGGTTCTAAATGTTACAAAATTGCTATAGGTTACATCTTGACATTTGTGTAGTTATTATCGTTATTGTTGTTGTTACTTAATGAAACTCCATTATCCGGAAGATTTATCTCGCAGTGTGAAATTTTGTCGAAAATAACTATTCGTTTACCAGACACGCAGCAGGAAATTACTATGATGCATATATCACGTCATTAAACGTACAAAGTAGGAAATCCCCATGCCGCCCACGTTGCATCATCGAGCCAGTGTGAAACAGTTCGAACGAAAATTTTCCCTCGTCCTAAAAGTACAACAGAAACAAAAACAGAAAAAGAAAATTCGTTTCTGTGCCGTCCTCTGAATATACATCCACATCTCTCAAGTTAATCTCACTTTCATTGAATTCTCCCACAAACCAAAAATCCAAGTTTGGATATTTGTTCGAGGAAATGGCAGACTCAAAGGGAGGAGCAACAGGAAGCAAGCAAATACGAGCTAGCTTTTCAGGGAAAGTAGTAACGTGTCGATGGAAAATGCACATTTTTTTTTTTTTCTAAGGAGATACACGGTCTCGAGGACGGAAATGTTCATCGTGTAAAATAGGCACGCAATGGGGGGTGTTGAGAAGATCGAGAGGGTTGAGAAAGAGAAAGTATCGCGTGCATAAATTCCAGAACACGGCCTAGAAAATGTTAATTATTAATTCACGAACACTTTGGACCGATCGACGATCGGGAATAAACGTGGCTGAGTTCCAGACACGTTGAATTCGTGACATTTTTTATAATGTACGACAAGTTCCGATCGAGCATGCTACATGTCCAAAAGCACTAGTTTCATTATCCTAAAATAAATTTGTGCACAAATTATCATTACTTGAATATAATAAATGTGTTCCATGACATATGTGCATCGTCAGCAGTTCGATTGACAAAATGAATTTTTATTCATCTAGATTAGATTTAGGTTAGAATTTATTGATATACTGATCATTTATTATTTATATCAATTATATTCATTATTTCTTCTACAGATTTTTCGTGAACATTTAACTTGCAAAATAATTTTCCATCTGTGTCAAAACATTTTAATTGTTTTTTTATAAAACTGTGAGTATACACAAATGTCCCTAGGTTGGATGACTCGACCGAAAGAAATCAATATGGCGTTCGAGTAAATCATACAATGTGCATCAACTTAATACGTAATATTACGTAATACGTAATTTTGTAAAATAATGGAATTACTTCGATTAATGAACTATGTAATTCATTATCGGCGCACATTACCCCCCCCCTCCCCCCCTAACTTTCGGCGTCTGCTCTTCAAATATTATCGAATGTAGAAGATGTTACGAAAACAGATTAGAAATTAATTCACAAAAAAGGAAGAGAAGAGAATTAAATAACGAAAGAATCGAGAAATCATCAAATTAGAACGACGAGCGTCGTCGATTTTCTTCTATTTATTCTGGCTTTCAACGAGATGAATATTCCAATATTTGCCCGCTTCAACCCACCGACCGTCGTTTGAATAAACGTTTTGCAACTCCTTCGGAACGAAGAAACTTCGCTGTATCCACGGAATACATAATATCGTGAATATCGTTCCTTCGTTTGCCTACTATCCGTCCCTGTTTCCTCCGCAAACACTGTCGTCATTCTCACCACCGCATCCCTCTCCCTCTCCCCCCCCCCGCCATTCCTCGCGTCGCCGTGCAAAAATGCCGCCCTCGATACCCACATCTTCGAGCAACCATTTTTATAAAATAATCGATTTATCGAGGGAATGAAGATTTCTTTTCCTTGCGTTTGCTCATGAAAAATTTGCTGGAATTTCGCAGCAGAAGATAGATATATGTATATCCGGTAAGGTAAGCCAATGGCGCGTGAGGATCTCATTTAAATTGTTGTAAAGAAAAATGAATCGTTAATTTCAATTCTGCAAGAAGAATCTTTTGTGCGAAATTATTATGACATAATGTATATTAATAACGTGACAAGTGAAATAAAATAAACGCGTAATTATTATTATTAATTAAATAATATTACTATACGTATAAAAGAAATTAATTTATATATATATATATATATATATATATGTGCATATAAATGTATATATAATATATGTGAATTATATAAAGTTAATTAATTCATTCGTAAAAGAGATCAATTGTACATGCTATGAATATATTATTCAGTGCATTACTGACTACAAACACTATAATAATTTTAAAGAAAAACGTGGCCGAAAAGTAGAACCGAGTGATCTCGAAGAAATTGGCAGCCAAGTGAACGACACATCGGGCTAAAACCTAAATAATTCATTCCACCCGCTCGAATCCAATTTCATCCGCGGGGGGTCACATGCTTTCCCGGTTGCGTGAATTCCCGCGAGCAGTGAATCCGAATTCCCTTTCCCCGTTTTGTCCACCGCACGGTTTCACTCGTTTCGTTGAAACCCGTTCGACGCAACAAGTTTGCCATTGTTCCGGGGGACCGCGAGTGAAAAGCTGCCGGAAATGGACCGACATCCCCGGCTTCCTTTCAAACACCTTTCCAGCTTTCACACTTGTTTTTCTCTCTTTCGTCGAGAAAGAACTCCATTCAATTGATGACAAGGATTGTCTAACAGCTTCTTGATACAATTTTTAAAAAAGGTACAGCCAACATTTAGAGAGATATTTAAGGGAAATGTCACCGTGTCAATTGATTTGAAAGACAGATTAAGGTTTCTTAAAAATATCTTTAATACCAGATTCGAAGCTATTAGTTTGAAATTAAGTTCTATCTTCGTGAGGAACAACAGTCAGCGTATTTTCTGGTTGTACCTTCTTGTTAAAGCTAAAGTTTCCCCGAATTTCTTTTCTTTCCAATGGTATCTAAACACTCAAATTTAGGCATCGCAATTGCACTGGGACAAAATTTCGTCAAACTTGACCGAGACCCTTATATTTTGTGTTGATTCAACAATACTTACACCACTCCAATCGTAGGGAAAGAAGCCATCGTGCTCGTTCCAGTTATCAATGTCCACGTAGAACATCCCCGCCGTCATAATGAACACCCAAACGGCGAGATTGATGGCGTTTAATACATTATTGAACACCAGCGATTTCTTCACGCCCGCGGCCATTAACAGCATCATCAGTATGGTGATGACGAACGCGAGGAAATCGGGCGGTCGACCTTCAACAGACCAAAATCATTTAATTAATCATTGCTCTGTTATTGAATTAACTTTCTAACAAAGTAATACTTCGCACACAGGACTGTATATAATCATGGAAATTATCAAGATCCTGCTGCACGCTTCCAGTCCACTTCTCTCAAAATTAAAACATACCTCAACATTCATATATATATATATATATAT